CCTGGAGATTTGCCGCCTGCCTGCGCTGCGGGGTTGGAATGGGAGCGGCAGCCCTGGAGCCACGGCTCATGCAGGTGGCACCATCACTGTGGCCAGATCTGAGCCACCTGTGAGTCACCTCAGCCTCCTGCCCCTTCCCCAGAGGTGGGTGCTGCCTCAGCCATCCCCCGAGAGCACCCGGGGCTGATGTTCCCTTGCAGAAAGCAGAAGCAGACTCCATTTCCTGGAGCCTGAGGCTGGCTGTGCTGGGAGAGGCACTGCAGAAATGGGGAACAGAAATCCTCCCTCCTCCTCCTCCTCCTCAAGAGGCCGGCTTGTGTCATCAAGTCTCCATCACCCTCTTCCTGCGGGGCCAGTCCCTCTCCCTGGTGCTCTGCCCGGAGAAGGACGGGAGTGGCGTCGATGCCACGGGCCATGGGGAGCTGGACAATCAGGTGGCAGGTGGTGGGAGCTCATGGGTGCCATCATGCCCAGGGGCCAGTGTTAAAAAGGTACATTTTGGGGGGTGCTGAGCCCCCACTGCTGAGCCAGAGGGCTCCTGTGGGGAAGCATTGCCCCGTGGCTCCAGGCAGACCTGGTGGCCAAGAGCTCCAGCTCCTGGTGCCACCCCAGTGTTTCCCTGCCCAACATTGGCTCTTACCAGCCCCACAGGCACTCCTGCCCTTGGAAGCATTTCCTTGCAGTTTCCTTCTCCTGGATTTGGCAGGAGGAGAGTGGTGCCCTCATCACCTGTCTAGGAGAAGCCAGCTTCGGGTTAATGCAGGCCAGAGGCTTTGTGTGCCTTGGAAAGCATTTGCTGGAGCTGGTTGGGCAATTCCTGGCTTTGGCTGGTGTCCTGGTGGGAATGCTGGAAGCACAGCTGAGTCAGGCTGGGAGGCAGGGGTAGGCATCCCTGCTCTGACACGGAGCAGCACGATCGGGCTGCACAGCACCCAGCCAGCTTTGAGCAGCTCCTGCCAGAGATCCTTCCACCACCCTGGCCCCTGTTCCTGTCCTGGGCCACCCTCGGGGTGATGGTGGGGAGAGCTCAAGCTCCCTGCATGCTCTCTGCGTTCACGGTTGGAGTTTTCCAGTTTCTTGGCCAGAGGAACATCCTGAGCGTGCTTCCATGCTTCTTGGGGTTTGTTTTGGTCTTTTAAACTCCCTGTTTTGACATGTCTTTTCGGAGGCATTCTGCACCACTCCTGACTGTGACTCTCCCCCGTGCTTGGGGGGAGTGAATTGGGATGGTTGATCTAATTATCTTTTCCCCTTTTGCGACAAACCGGCCTCTGCTTGCTTGGGCTGTGGAGCTTTAATTAAGATGGTTTTAAATTTAACGGGAGTTGACAGGGTCAGGTAGGAGGGGCTGGGACTTTTATCTGTGGGGAGTGTGTAGCTGGGCCCCTGCACAGCAGCTGTGCTGCCCTGCTCCTGCAGCCATTCCTTCTGGGAGAGCTCTCCATCACTGCGGGGGACCCGGGGAGGGCACAGGTGCCTTAGCTCAGGTGCCTTTGACATGCAGTGAGCTGAGCAAAGTGGAGGTCCCAGACAGGCACTGGGGGCACCTGCCTGTGGCTTGTCCCCAAACTGGAGCCGAGATGCAGGAAGCATCTCTGCATCGCTCCTCCTGTTTTAGGAATCAGTGCAAGTGAGAAACCGGTGTCCTTGTGGAGAAGGGCTGAAGGCACAGCCCAGACATGCCCTCACTGCCTCAGCTGCACAAGGAGAGCGTCTGCAGCATCACACCTCACTTTGCAGGGCTGGGGGAACTTGTAATAGGGCAGGTCCCTGCCTGGCAGAGATGTGCCTGTGCTCCCCTTCTTGTACCGAGCAAAGCCTGGTGGCATGGGACAGGGGACAGGAATCACTTTTTCCACGGGGGACATGGTGATGGGTTGTTCTTGGGTGACAGAGGGGGTGGGCTGAGCTGAGGCACCCCAAAGCACTGGGGGCTGTGCTGCCTCTCGCTGGCCCCAGGCCCTGATGCTGCCGTGGGAAAGGACAAACCCGGGAGCATCCCCTGGGAGCGAGGGGGAAACTGCTGTGCGAGCATGTCCGGAGCTGCATCTCCTACCAAAACGTGGGGAGGGAGCAGGGGCTGATGCGGGGAGGGCAATGGGGGGCCACCTGAAGATGGTTAAAAGACCATCTCGATGTGGTCGTAGCAGCACTGACCAAACCGTGGCAATTCATCACCCTTGGCACTGACCCTGCTGTCTGGGGACAACAATGGCAGGGGCAGCACTGCTGTCACCTGTCACTGTGCCACCCACGCAGGGGGACGCAGGGGACAGCGAAGCACCCCCAAGTAGGGTCTCTGGTTTAAATGGCACACCTCGTATGTGGTTTCCATTTGTCCTGCCCCAGCTGGACCCCAGTGCTGCTGGGGTGGGGTTGGCTGTGTGCAAGGGGGAGCGAGGGGTCAGATGGGTTTGGGATCGCCGCTCTCCGCCTCTCCCTGTCCCCAGTGCCTGCTGCCACGGGCTGGGTGCCGCCAGGCTGCTTTGTCTCGCCCGCCGTCCCGCACGCTTCATTTTTCAGTCTGGTGTGAGACAGTTGCCGTGATTAATCTCGCCGGGGCTCTGTGAGCCGAGGACACGGCTCAGCTCGGCTCCCTCCATCAGCGGGTGGCTGCTGCTGCTCCCAGCCCCTCGCCCAGCTCTCCCTCATCACCCTCCGTCCCTCCTGCCGGCGGTGCCTCTCAACACCCACCCGGCCCCAGAGCAGCCCCAAGGACAGAGCCTGTTTCGCCAGAGATGTCTCCCTCCCCAAGGCTTGGTGTCTGGTATCGGGCCCGGCCTGTCGCGGCATTTCCCAAGGTTTCTGCCTCTGCTGTGTTTTGTCTGCTCCCAATCAGTGTCTTTTGTTAGTGTCTTTGCAAGGACGATAAGATCGCTTCCCCTTGCTGCCAGCCCGCTGTCAGCCTGCCCATACCACGGCCATTGTATCCTTGAGGGATCCAGGCGTGGAAAGCAGCGGGAGGGCGGCCGGGTCCCCTCGCTGCTGCCTTTGCGAGAGCATCTCTGCCACGGGGAGGTAGGGCAGAGCATGGAGCCTTTCCTGCCACCCAGTTGATTTTTGGGGGATTGACCCTGGATGTCAGAGGTGTGGGGATGCTGGGCAGTCCGGGCAGTGTTCCCAGCGCCGGCGGGCGAGGATGGGGACGCCACCGTCTCGCGTGCCGTGATCTGATCCGAGCTGAGTTGTGCAGCCAAGTGTGCCTCATTTTTAATTGCTTTTGGAGAGGGGAGGGTGGGGTTGGCCTCTCCTTGCTGCGGCCTCTGCCCCGGGCAGGGTGGGTGACTGGGCTCAGCCCTGGCATCCTCCCCTCCAGCTGGGGAGGGATGGGGGGCCGGGAGGACCCTGAATGCAGAGCCAGCAGCACACAGATAGGTGGGGATGGCAGCGCTGGCCGGTTGCCTGAGCCTGGCCATGGCTGTGCCAGTGATACGCTGGTGAGGATGGCAGCATCTCTGCCAAGCGAGCAGCAGGACTGTGCTGGGCTGTGCCAGATGTGCCAGGCAGTGCCAGGCTGCTGCCACAGCAGCCACTTTCAGCCACCAAACACCCAGGCCTGGCAGCGTGAGGTTGCAAGTGAATCCACCCACACGGGGACCTCTCACTTCCCCGTCACAGGACCTGGCCCCTCACCCCCTGGTGTGTGGTTGGCCCCAAGCTCAGGCCTATTTGGGTTTCCCTCGTGGCTTTTTTGGCTATGTTTGTGCCTGGGAGCCCGTGTCACAGCGTGCCTGGGTGCTGGGGACACGAGCACCACGTGTGTGCTGGCACAGCCTTATTTGTATGTGCTGCAGCCTGGAGTTGGGGCTGCAGTTTTCCCCCTCCATCCCGCTGTGCAATCAGTGCCAGCGAGTATTCCTCAAGTACAAATTACAAACCATTCAACATCTTAAAGAGCTGTCAGTCAGCTCCCGCTCATTATCCTAATCAAATGCGCTAAAAATAGTGACAAAACTTATTAGCAGCGGGAAGGGGAGGCCATCAAAACAAAGCTGTGGTGGGGCACGGCCCCTGCGTGGCAGCCACCGGGATGTTCCCCTTGGCTGAGGTGTGAAACCTGGGCTCCAGCTGGGACAGGAGCCTGTTGGGATGATGCTGGGGCTGTGAAGCTGTGGGTGCTAAATCCCCTCCCTGCAGGAGCAGGAGCCCTTCGGGGGCAGCTGAAGCCTCTGCCCATCACTGAGTGGGCAGGGTTGGTGGGAGAGAGACTTTGCTTTTGGTATGGTAGGAGGGAGTATGAGCAGTTCCTGCAGGATCTGGGGGATGGGAAGGGGTGGCAGAGCCAGGTGAGGGGCAGCCCTGACTCTGGGGGGCCATGCTCTGGTCTGCTTTCCGCTTGTAGTTCCGCCCCAAGCCACTGCTGCTGAGAAGTGTCCCACCATCTCACGATTTTGTGACAGAAAACTGCCCTTTTAGAAAAAATTAGCTAAAATGTCATTTTTTGGCTGAGTCAGGCCTTCAGCAGCGCAAGTTGCCTCCCAGACCTTGTGCATGGTTCATACGGTAGCATCTGTCTGTGCTTTTGGGAGTGGAGAAGGTGACATCCCAGGGGACAAGGTCCCCAGTTGGTAGCCGACCCTCCCCACGGCAGGTCCCGGCTGTCCAGAGATGGAGCAGCAGGGCTGAAAATGCCGGTGTGTCTGAAGGAACTGGCTTTGTTTCTCTCCCGAAAAAAACACTCGGTGGGCTGAGGGTGTCCGCGCTCCTCTCCCATCCTGGGACATCGCCCGGGGCGGCTGCAGCCGCCTCCTCTGCCGTCCCCGGTGGGTTTGATGAAGTGGAGCAGAGAATCGTCCCCTCTTCACACATGAGGGATCAGAGCGGGCGGTGTGAGCTGCCGGCCCCGCGCTGGAGGGGTGGCGAGGAGGCGGCGGAGGAGGAGGAGGAGGAGGAGGAGGAGGAGGGCAGGGGCAGTGCTGGGCACCGGCCCGTGGCGTGGGGCAGAGGGCACGGCCGGGACGCGGGTGCTGCTCGGGCTCTGACGTTCCCTTGTCTCGCAGGCTGCGGCGGGAGCTGAGCTGAGTTCGCCGGCGGCACCTCCCCACCCCGCGGCGAGGCTGTAGCCGAACGCACCGGTAAGGCATCTCCGATGGCCCGGGGAGGGGGAACCAGGCTGCTTTACCTGCCGGGGGGGCTCAGATCTGGGGCCCTGGGTGCGCTGCCACAGCCGATTTGGCCCTTGAGCATCTGCGGGTGGGCTGGGTGCGGGTGCCAAAGGCTGAGCCTTGCCTCGGTGTTCGCCGAGGCGTGGCCGGCCCGGGGGGCACAGCTGAGGCCTCGCAACTCATCGCGGTGGTGGTTCACGATGCGCTGCTGGCGCTGACCCCCGGAGCGGAAAGCAGGGAGTTCCTGCAGGCTGCGACGTGCCCGGGGTGCTAATCCCCGCCGCAGGAAAGCTGCCTGTCCGCCGCCTCGCATCAGTCAGAGCGAGCACGGGAATGCTGGCCCTGCTCCAGCCTGCCACACCAGCCTTGGGAGGGGGAGTAGGGAAGCCCTGCTGGAAACCGACGGGTTGGGGAGGGATGCTGAGCCCCCCATCCCAGCACGGTCGGCTGGGATGCATGGTGGAAAGCATGGGAGCAGGGAAATATCCCACTGGGCATTGGACAGGCTGCCCTGGCTGGATGCTGGCGGTGCTGAGCATCCCTGCAGCCTGCTGCACGTAGAAATGCTGTATTTATTAGACATAAATTTATTAGACATAAACACAGCACAGCTGCTGGCGATGGGTATTTTCTGCAGTCTGGCTGCTGTAGGGCTGTCCCACAGCTCCCAGTGATGCTGCTGGGGCGTGCTGGGAGCTGCCACGTTGGGTGGTGGGTTCACCCCCTTCCTTCTCTGCCCTTTGACTCTGGGGGGGGTTCATCAATGGCTCTGCTGGAGGCAGGGGGGTCTCTCCCTGGTGCCTCCCGGGACCTGAGTGCACAGCACATTCCTGCTGTCATTAATCACTCCTTTGCCAGGCTCTTGCACAACCCTGCATTCTCCCAGGGGAATGTGCACCCTTTCCTCCCTGGCTGCCAAGGGGGATGTTGGGGTCACAGGGTATTTCCCAGGCCCCCTCTCCTCCCTGGGGACAAGTGGAGAGCAACAGGGCTAAAGCCATGTGGTCCTGTGGGCTGAGTTACCTGGGGCTCAGAGTGGGGATGGTGCAGGACATGCCTGGAAGATGCACATCCTGTGCCCGCAGGCTCACGGGTGTGAAGGCAAGGACTCGCCTGCTTTGGGGAAGTGCCTGGGGTATAAACTCTCCCATCTCTATGCTCTGGCTAATCTCTGGCCATATTGAGCATTTTATACTCTGATTTTCTCAGCACGTTGATAAATCCTCTGCTGACCCAGGCTGGATGTGCTCAGGGGACACTTGTGTCCCCGAAGTGCTGCTAAACCTGCTGCCCCGGCCAGGGAGTTTTCCTGCCTGGGGAAGTGCTGTTTCCAGGGGAAACTCTGAGTGGCTCTGCCCTTGCTCAGGGTCGCGTGGGCAGTCACAAGCCACACGGTCACAGCCCCGCCGTGCCCCCACTTTCCTCCCTGTACTGCTGCTGCCATCCTGGGAGCGCCAGCGGGTGCCAGAGCTCTGGGCAGAGGTGAGAGAGGGGCTTGCTGGGGATGGGGTGCTGGGGGCTTCTTCTCGTTGCTTCTGAGGTCCTGCTTTCCCCTGCAGTTCTGCTTTAGCATCCTCTGCACCAGGCTTTTAAATGGCATTTATTTATGGGACAGACGCCCTCCTCCTTGGCTGCAGGATCTGCCTCTGGATTGCTGGCAGGGACAGTTTGCCAGTGCAGAGCTTATATTCGACCTTTCTTTGCTTCGAGAACCCCAAAGCCCAGGACAGACAGACATGGGCTGGGTCCCACGGCAGATAGAGGCATTGGTCCTTCCTTGTTCCTGCATCCATAGGAGGAAGGACAGCTCTTCTCCCCGCTGGAGTGGCTGCTGGAGTCATACCTAGCAGTTTATTTTAATTCCTAAAAAATCAGTTTGTTCCAATTCCCAGACCCTGGCAGGGTTTGATCCTGCCAGCACGGGTCACGCCAGGACACTGCTTGTGTACTTTGCTCGTACAATGTGGGAGCTGGAAAAGAGTGGATGGAAGTTGTGTCTTCTGAGAAATAAGCCCCAAGCATCAGGCAAAGCACTCTTTGTAGGGAGGGGAGCTGGGAGGGGAGCAGAGCTTGTGCCTGGCACCCCTAAGCTTCCCCATGGCAGGTGCCAGGGGCTCTGCCCCACTGACACTGGGGCTGTGCAGGCTGCAGGGGCTGCCCTGGGCTCTGACCTTGCTCGTGGGGGCCTGGCCCAAATTCTCTCCAAAGCTGGGCTAGAAAAACCCCTGGCAAAGCCTCACTGGTGGCTGCGTTCAGGTCCACACCCCGCAGGCAGTGGCTGCCTCCTCTGCTGCTTCCCTGCTTCTGTGTTCTTATCAGAGATAGTCTCCTCCCTGGTTGTCTCCACCTCCCTTTTCCCTCCTGCCATGCGTGATCTAGCCTAAATATTTCCTTCCATAGCTTGAGGACACTGCTGGGTATCCTGCCATCTTTGGAGACTGCAAATAATTCCCTTCCTTCATTTATATCATTACCTTGAAGGTATTTATAGAGTGTGATCTTGAGTGGAAAGGAAGGCTATATATAAACTATTTGACTATATATAAAGCCGAGATCCCTTGGTCCTTAGCTGTAAACTGCCTGAAACTGCCTCTGATTTAAGCTTTTATCCCATTTGCTGCATGTTTTGGACTT